ATTTATCCTAAACAGTTACAGAATAACCAACCTCATATTTTGTTCTTAGTTCAATAAATCATATTTTGTTTAAGTTATCCCAGAATTTAATTCAGTCATTCCTCAGGACCACATAGATCCCTGAAAAGCCTAGACCCTGGGTTACTTTACCAGAAAGGAAAACAGAGAGAAGGTTTGGAAATCCTTAAATTCCTGGTGGCAGCTGAATCTATACAGTTTAATAAAGCAAAGAGCACATTTAAAGGGAAAACCAGTCCTCCCTAAATAGAGGGCACCACAATACCCTTTTGTTAGTCTTTGGTGGAATGGTGACATTTGATATTTCAAACTAAATTCAGTCTTGGAGGTGCTTCATCACATAGCAATTTGTTAGTAATCATTCAAATGTTGCCTGTGTGGCGAGTATGGGAAGAAATAATGTATTAAATTTCTTTCCCATGGCTTTTATTGCTTTGTTTGGGGGCTCACTGGTAAATCCAATAGCACTATGGTGACAGAGCAAAATCTAGTTGTGGTGCACTCTGTCTCTCACATGCACGCATCCATCCATCCATCCATCCACAGGAAACATTTATCTCATTCTTTCCCCTTTTCATTAGGAGCAACTGGGATTGAGGATCGTTTACAAGACGGCGTCCCTGATACAATTGCTGCATTCAGAGAGGCTGGGATCCAGATATGGGTGCTGACTGGAGATAAGCAAGAAACTGCAGTCAACATTGCATATTCTTGCAAACTTTTGGACCAAAGAGACACTGTCTTTACCATTAATATTTGAAAAGGATTTACAGGAAATTAGAGCCTTCAGTTTAATACTGCACAAAATGCTGAAAACCTCATGCCAAATTATTATTTGGAAAATAATATTTTGAAATAGCACTGAATCAGAATTCAGAATGCAAGCAGAACATTTGGGTACTGAGAACAATTCTAAGGAAACTGGCCCTGATATTGTAATATGTATCTGGCAGTCTGCAGAAAGCCTTTTCTCGTAATACTATCGAGGTTTGTCTTTAGTGCTTGGTAAGTAAAATTTCTTTGGTGGCTATGGCAGGCCTACTAAACCTGAAACCCAGGTAGCCTAACAGAGTGCACCAGCTCTGAGGAATGTCTTACCAGTTTAGCTGTCTGGCTTTGACTTCAGAGATGGGGCTTTCATGTACCTGTCAGGCTACCAGACATGGTTGGCTAGCTGCATTCAGCCTGGTGGGCCACAAGTTCTGTAAGTCTAGCTTAGCAGCTGGGGACACTGGTGGCACAACCACAGACCACTGGTGCTGAAATTGGCACCAGAGCTGGCACTGTCTCATTGTACTAATATCAACCAGTCTTCTGGAGTATTGGGTCAGTATGGCACCTTTGCTACTGTAGTTGCATGCAATACAATGATAAAATTATGAAGAGAAACATCAATTTGAGCACACCTGCATATTGTGGTTAATTCTACATATTTACTAATAACAATAACAAATGAACATGGCAATTTGCAAATTTTAAAACATGGATAGGCAAGTAAAAATGGAGACAAACGAGCTACAAATTATAAATGAAGTTATAAAACATGGTGATGGAAAGTGCCGTCATGTCACAGCTGACTTATGGAGACCCAGTAGGATTTTCAAGGCAAGAGATGAACAGGGGTGGTTTGCCATTGCCTGCCTCTGCATAGCAACCCTGGACTTCCCTGGTGGTTGCCCATCCAAATACGAACCAGGGCCGACTGTGCTTACCTTCTGTGATCTGATAAGATTGGGCTAGCCAGGACCATCCAGGTCAGGGCTTATAAAATGTAGTCATTGGATAAGTACAGTGGGTTGGATCTAATAACTCCTTTCCACCAAGATGCATTCAATTACTCCCTTCTGCTAAGTGTTCCTCCAATAAAGGTATTATCCATCAAAGGAGCCTTAGTGGAAGGGAGTCATTGGATCCAACTCAATGACTATCACACAACTACATTGTTATAATCAGTGCTAAAGGCTTGATCATGTTGGAAGGTTTCCATAAATGGACAATTTATTTACATGCAAATGTCTTTGTGTTGTCCAAACAAAATGGCACACTATGGGCTGATGGAAAAGTTAGCAAAAAAAAATACCGTGTAATGGAGCAACTTGTGTCGCCCATCGTATACTGCAAAATGAGATGCCACTTTAACAATGATCTGTTTGCAAATTCTAGGAGACCTGTGAATCCCTGTTGGATATCACACTGGAAGAAGTGAAGAAGGCTCAAGTCATGGCAAGAACAATGTGGAAAGTTTGGGGCATTAAGCTGCCATTTTCTTGGTCAAGCACTGTGACTCCAAATCCTGCTGTTGGTCTGGTGATTGATGGGAGCACTCTGCATACCATTTTCCAGGGACAACTTGAGCACAAGTTTCTTGAACTAGCCAAGTACAGCCGCTCAGTTTTGTGTTGTCGGTGTACTCCACTACAAAAGAGCATGGTAGTCAAACTTGTGCGGAGTCACCTGAAAGTCATGACCCTGGCAATCGGTAAGTAATTGTCCTTTGAATGGCCCGATCCTATTAACAGACTTTAGCTACTACTACTTCACCTGGATTATGAAAATGAATGTGATCTCCTATATATCTGTCTGTCCTACTTTGCCCACCATTGGCTTAATGCTTATTTATGGGGGATCAATGGCATGGAGGATGTGTTGTCCATCTCTTCGTCATGTTTCTTCTATTCTGACAATGGATTGGGTCCCACAGATCATTTACAATTGACAAGAATTTCCATCAGTGGAACATACATTTTCTTGCATTCCACCCTCTACAATGTCCCCCAGGAACAGCAGTTACAGGGGCACTGTGGGCTACAGCAGGAAGGAAGAGACAAGAAAGTTGCACACCATGGATGGAAATCCTTCTGCCCCTTCTATGTTACTGTAACTCCATAACTTAGCAAGGTGCAATACCAGGATCTAAAGCATCATGAAACTAAATCCATGAGCTGAAAAAGACTTATAAGTTGTTTTATATCAAAAAGTAGGCACAACACAGACACCCCATGCCATATGGGAAATTGTTTTTGAAACTAAAGGGGCAGGGGAAACAAGAATTCCACTGAGCTAACGCAAACCTCTTGTGGAAACCCCAAACTGTTTTCTTGTATCCTGGCCTTTGACATTGAGCAGGATTATATCTCAAGACTGAAAAATTGGTTGAGCTTAACTTTTAAAAGTTGTTATAATCACAATGCTTTTATTCTGTTTTAGGTGATGGTGCAAATGATGTAAGTATGATTCAGGCAGCTGATGTTGGAATTGGCATTTCTGGACAAGAAGGTATGCAGGTATGCATGATCATTTGAGTGTATTCTTTCATCTTTGACAACTACTGCTCAAACATCGATTCTCAGTGTTCAAAATTTATGAGTCTGTTCTATATATAACATGAATTTAAGATATCAGTATTGGTGTATTGGGAGCTGCAGTGGCTCAAGTGGTTAAGACACTGAACTGCAGGCTGTGGAAGGTCAGTAGATCAGCAGTTCGAGACCCAAGTTGCTGCATGACGGAGTGAGCTCCTGTCTCTAGTTTCAGCTCCTGCCAACCTAGCAGTTCGAAAGCAAAAAATTGCAAGTAGATAAATAGGTACCACCGGTGGGAAGGTAACAGCGTTCTGTGCGCCTTGGTGTTTAGTCATGCCGGCCACATGACCATGGAAATGTCTTCGGACAGCACTGGCTCTTCAGCTTTGAAACTGAGATTAGCACCGCAACCCTAGAGTTGGACTCGACTGGCTTTCGAGCAAAAGAACCTTTACTGGTGTATTGACATTATACTCCATTATCCATAGTGGAACCAAGGTGAAATGTCCTGTATTTCCAATTAATCAAAATGTCTACATCCTTGCCCATATTATTTATTTAAGCATATAGCATATCCTCAAAGAAAATATCTAAAGCTGGAGACACTGCTCTGACTCATTTGTTAACGCAATAACTGTCAGACTCCTGCAGCAATCAGTTCCCAACAGCTTTCATTCAAAGAAGTAAAGTTTATTGAGAGTATGCAGATATCTTAACCATTTCATGTTAAAACTAACATAAAGTGTGCGAAGCAAACAGTTATACATTGTTCAAGGAGACCCCCTGATGGCCCAGGGCCAATCAGAGGCTAGGTAGAAGCCCACCAAAGTAACTGGTTGCTTTTCTCAAGAGAAATACTGTACCAGGCACTGAAGGTCAGACAGAGATAATGGAAACTGAGAAGACACAGCAGAAAAGAAACTTAACATTCCAGAGTCACCCCACTCCCATGACAGCCAGGACTCGAGAGAGGCCTAGCTGACAATAACTTTAGGATGTGGAGACCTCTGATTCTGAGTTTCGGGTGCTAGGTAGCTAAGGAGACCAGTGAGCCCATAGCTAGTGTCACACCCTACATCCACCCCTGACATAACACCGCTTTCTGCTGTTTTGTCGGTCATTGCCAAGGGATGCGCCCCAGACCTCAGAAGTGGGAGGGGCTTTGTTCACCCTAGTCCTCTTCCTCTCAGCTGACTGACCCTCGCTGCACAGCCTGGATTGCCAGCTATGCATCCTTTCTGGCCTGTTGTCCTTTTATATGCCACCTTTTCTTGTCCCATGTGGGATAACAATAGGGACTAGCCTCCTAGTCCCTCCACTGGGGAGCCAATGGGAACCATGGCGGGAGATTCAAACCCACCAATGGTGACCAGGGGTGTGTCCCCAGGGATGTATATAGTTGGCCCCCGGGTCGTTGTTCCCTCGTCCTTGTTGTGTACCAATAAAGCGTGCTATGCACTACGTCGTCGTCTGTCGTCTCTCCATGCGGCAACCCACTACACAATACCAGCTATGCATCCTCCCTGGCCTGTTGTCCTTTTATATGCCACCTTTTCTTGTCCCGTGTCCACCCATTGGGCTCCCACCCTGTCTGTCTGGCCTGGGGTACCCCCATTGGCCCAGGGTGTGATCCCTCCCCCTGGCCTTCTCATGCTGTCCCCAGTGGGAGACCTGTTAAGGATGGGGGTGGAGCCAAGAGGTTCCAGCTTTCCCTCTCTCCATCCCTGTCCATCAGCCAGCTGCTTTGCCCACCACAAGTGGCAACGGGCCTGCCTTCTCTGGGCTCCTGCCCTTCTGCTGAGGAGGAGGCCTGCCAGTCGGGGAGTGCCAACCTGGTCATCGGGGAGTGAGCAGCCTTTCACTGCATTCCAGCCCCTTCCCAGCCCTGCCTCCCCCGTCCGCCAGGAGCCCAGTGGCCAGTGGGGCTTGATCCTATGACCCTGCTGCTGCTGCCTCTACTGTCTCTGCCTCCAGCATCTCCAGAGGCAGGGCTCTGGCTACCATCATTCCCCACTGCTCTCCTGCTGCCAAGCCTGGGGGGTGGGGTGCTGCACACCACTCCAGATCTTTTCACCATGGTTGTCTCAGCGAGCCCTGGCCTCCGTGTTTGCCTCTGTGGGCCGGGTAAGTCCTCCAGACCCCCACTGAATCCAAGCATCATGGCCACAGCCAGGGAGGGGGTAAGGTCACCCCGGGTTAACTCCTAGTTGCAGACTGGCTGGCCCAGCCCCAGACAGCTAGGTTAACCCAGGTGTTTCCCAGTTCCACCAGTCTCCACATAGGATCATATTGGCTTTAAAAGGCTACAAGCAGGAGATCCACAAGGACTTGTTGGGGGTATCTCATTTTCCCATCCCCCACTCCCCTTTTCATGTTTCCTTCTCTCCTACCCACCCACCAGCCACCTTTATCTATTCCCCTTTCTTCAGCTTTCCCGCCCTCTCTCCCCCTGGTAGCCTGCACCCAAGAAAACAGTGGTCTGGTGAGGAACCCTTATGGACTTGCTAGATGCACCTCACTTTTCCCCTCTATCCCCCTCCCTTTACTATTTCCTCTTTCCTTCCTTCTGGCAACCTCCATATCCTCACCTTTCCCTGCTCCCTTCTCTCCTTCCCATGATGCAGGACAGGGATATGTGGGGCATTGGCATTGCATATGACATGACATCACTTCAGGGAAAACTGGAAGTGGTGTCACATTTCTTAAGGAAATTCTCCAGTGATGTGATATCACATCACAGGCAACACCTGCATTTTTTTTCTCCCACTACCTGAAGGAGCAATGGTGGGAAGAGCTGGTTATGGTGGGAGACCTGACAACCCTGCTTCCTACCCACCAACCAGACTACTTTTTATTTACCTGAAATATACTGGGTTCAACATGCGTTAGTGATCAGCTCATACTTTATTGTGATCTCAGCTCAAACTAAAGACAATCTCAGCAGGTCCACAGCCCTGCTTAAATGTGCACCCAACACGCACACACGCACGCACACACGGCCAGTGATGGGCTATTTACATACCTAATCTAACTTAATTGGTTCCTTCCAGGATCCTGGCTGTCTATTGTTTGGTTACTCAAGCTTGGTCAAGGTCCTAAGTAGCATTCCAGCTCAGTACATAACACTACCATCTGTCTTCAGCTATATTTATTATTTGTTTACTTCATTTATACCCTGCCTTTCTCCACAATGGGGACTCAAAGCAGCTTACATTATTATCCTACCCTCCATTTTATCCTCACAACAACCCTGTGAGGTAAGGTAGGCTGAGAATATATAACTGGCCTAAGGTCACCCAATGAGTTTCCATGGCAGATGATAATCAGAAATGATAACCACTACACTACACTGGCTATTGTGGGGTTGTGGGGTAGCTGCTGTTGAACAATAGGAAGCAGTGAGGGCTGGGTCAGTCATGCAGGTTGGGTGATAGCAAGTCACCTGGTGGTTGCTAGTGGGCCTAGCCTCCAATCAATCCTCCCTCAAATGCCAAAACTGCCCTGAAAAGGGTCCTGCCCCCACCCTCCTGCCATTTACTGACAAAAAACAAGGTTTGATAGCTGATAATACTGTTTTGGTTTCCTAGCAATAGCCACAGAGAGCATTTGTTTCTTAAAAGGACTGCTTCTGTCATTTTGGAAGGTTTTAACCCCGACTCCAGTGTACTCGGGGGGGAGGTGTTTGTTTTGGGGTTTTGATTTTGTTTATTTGTTTGTTTGTTTTGCAAATCAGAGACTCTTCTCAGGTTTGTAGAAAGATCTGCGTTGTCTGTTCATGGCTAGAGTGTCCAGATTTAAGTATCCACAGATTTGGCCACATTGAGAATTAGATACATTGATAGGATAAACAGCAATCATAGACTGGCCACACAAAGAATTTTTCCAATGTGTGGAGCTGCAAGCTGTCTCATCCAGTGTTGTTAGCAGTGTTCCCTCTTAGCAGTGTGAGCTAGCTCACAGTTTTTTAGCCTCCGGCTCACACATTTTTGTCTTAGCTCAGGAAGGATGGCTCCAGAACAAACTAATCTATGCAGTAACCAAATCGCTTGCTCACAACTTTAATGACAGTAGCTCACAAAGAAGAATTTTTGCTCACAAGATTCTACAGCTTAGAGGGAACATTGGTTGTTAGTATCCTCTTTTTAGGCTCACTTCCCATTGACTCTGTTGATTGCACTGTAAGTTACTAGGGAAGGTCTCGTAGTTTCATAGTAAGACACTAAAGGGTTTGTAAGTTACACCGGAGTTGGGACAAATTCTAACTTCCTTGTTTTCATTTGACATAATGATTGGCTTAATCAGATAAAGCAGAGAAAACAAATTACTTATTTTAATAAATGTTCTCTTTTCTAGGCTGTCATGGCCAGTGACTTTGCCATATCTCGGTTTAAGCACCTCCAAAAGTTGGTTCTAGTCCATGGGCACTGGTGTTATTCTCGCTTGGCAAAGATGGCAATTTATTTTTTCTATAAGAATGTGGTAAGTTCAATGCTTTTTTTGTTTCTATACTAGACAATCAGAATTTCTTCTCATAGACACAGAAGATGGTGGAAATGATAATTCATGATGCAATGTTTGATATTTCCTGTACCAGATCTATAATAGCCGATAGAGTGAAAGGCTTTCCCAGTATTTTCCAATTCCAATATTTTTATCTCAAGAAAAAATATTGGAAATATACAGGTAGGTATCGTTTTATTGTATATGGCCATAAGCCTTCACAATATCAAAACACTCTCAGAAAATATATACATTAACATATAATAGAATGTTTCAACCTCTATAAAAACGTATAAAACACCTATTAAAATTATCTCAACCTCTGGTCTTTAAAACCAGTAAGACCTTTTAAAATCAGTCACTTGGTTGCAATAGTACTATTTGATTTCTTTGCTCTAATTTTCTAGCCACCAAGGCAAAGAGAGCCAATTTTAAAGAAATGAAGGGGTCCTCATCTGAGAGCAAAAAGGCCATCTTTTCATAATCAGACAGGGGTTATAGGGCTGTCAATATCTTTGCTAAAACTTTGGCCCTGGGTTATACATATAAGGGACAGGCCAGAATGTAGTGGGGAAGGTCTTCCACTGACTGCCCACATATACAGATGTGTTGGTCTACTGGAGTTTTTTTTATAGTGACCAGCTAGCATCTCCAAAGGCATTGTTTGAAAATGCACTGAAGTAAGGGATCTCCTGAGATTATATGAGGTTATGTTGATTAAATAAGAAGCTCCTGAGTGGTCCTTTTTGATTATTTTAAACCACGGAGCAAACCTCAATTCCCAATTGTGTTGGGAAGCCTTTCACTATTCATAGTTTGCCCACAAAGCAACAGCTCTTTAATTTTTAAAGGGATGCTATTTTCAGTGGGAAGTCCTGACCTTTAAATTTTAAAGAGCAGATGCACTACTGATGAGCTGGGGGCACCCTAAATAATATGTGGTAGACCCAGCCTCCAGAATTTAGGTAAAGGTAAAGGTTCCCTTGCTCGAAAGCCAGTCGAATCCGACTCTAGGGTTGCGGTGCTCATCTCCGTTTCAAAGCCGAAGAGCCAGCGCTGTTCAAAGACGTTTCCGTGGTCATGTGGCCGGCATGACTAAACACCAAGGCGCACGGAACGCTGTTACCTTCCCACCGAAGTGGTCCCTATTTATCTACTTGCAATTTCTTGCTTTCGAACTGCTAGGTTGGCAGGGAAATTTAAAAGGGCATTATTTGCTTTCTGCAAGGATTGGGGGGGGGGGAGTCTGCAGCCAGGCTGGCTGTCACCACAGCTATTGAAAATAATGGATTTTTAAGCTGGCACTTAAAATCAAAAAGGTGATAGAGCAGTTTTTAAACTGAATATTGGGGGAAAGCTGACAGGAGATGAAAAGTCTCTGGTTCAGGATGGCTCATCTCAAAGAGAGGAAGAGGTAGCTGTTACTTTTCTACAAGGAAACAGATTAGAATAGTCCACTGAGACTGTGGCTAATGATATGGACTGCCTGGCAAGGTTTTGAGGCAGCAAGAGGGAGGTCGTGGGCTTAACATGCATAGGAAACCGTAGATGTTTATAAACAAATGCTAGGAGTGTCCGAGGTAAAATCGGGGAGTTGGAATGCTTGGTGTTGGGGGGGGAAATAGACATCGTGGATATTTCAGAAACTTGGTGGGATGAGGAAAATCAGTGGGATACAGTGATTCCTGGTTATAAATTATATCAGAAGGATGGGGGGAAGGGTTGGAGGTGGGGTGGCTCTGTATGTCAGAGAGAGTATACAGTCCAGTAAGACTGAGAGGGTAAGAGAATTGGATTCGCTTCTGGAAATGCTATGGGTTGAAATAGTGGGCCCAAAAGGAAGCTTAACACTGGGAGTTTGTTATCGCCCACCAAATCAAAAGACAGAGGAGGATTATAAAATGATGAATGAATTAGATAGTGGTTAGACAAATTAACTGTGTCGTAATAGGTGATTTTAACTACCCACACACTGATTGGGTCAATATGTGTTCAAGTTGGGGAAAAGAGATTGAGTTTCTAGACATTCTCCATGACTGTGCTGTAGAATAGATGGTCACAGAACCTACCAGGGGAGAGGCGATCCTGGATTTGGTCCTAAGTAACGCCCAAGACCTGGTGAGAGATTATTGCACGGCTTGGGAACAGTGACCATAATGTTATTGAGTTTAACATTTGTATAAATAGGGAGTTGCCGAAAAAGACTGACACAACCACTTTTAACCTTAAAAGGGATAAATTCTCTGATATGAGGGGATATGTGAGGAGGCAACTGAAATGAAAACTAGAAAGTGTCAAAACCATTGGGGAAGCTTAGAGACTATTTAAAAATGCAATCCTAGAAGCTCAGAAAAAACATATACCACAGGTTAGGAAAGGCACAAATAGATATAGAAAAAAGCCTGCATGGTTAACAAACAAAGTAATGGAAGCTGTAAAGGGTAATAAGAATTCCTTTAAGGAGTGGAAAGCTAGTCTCAGTGAGGTTGATAAAAGGGAACACAGGCTGTGGCAAATAAAATGCAAGTGTGTGATCAGGCAGGCAAAAAGGGAATATGAGGAGCATATAGCAAAAAACATAAAGACCAACAATAAATCTTTCTTCAAATACATTAGAAGCAGGAAACCAGCCAGGGAGGCAGTGGGGCCCTTGGATGACCAAGGGGTAAAAGGAGTACTGAAGGATGATAGGGAAATGGCTGAGAAGCTAAATGCATTTTTTGCCTCTGTCTTCACTGTGGAAGATGAGA